TAGAGGGAAAACAAAACAAAGCAAGACAAAACAAAACAAATTCCTATAAAAATATGAAATGAAAAAGCCATATAGAACTGCAATATAAGGTGATCTACAATGATTACTATGATGTTTCTTGTTCTCTTCAATAGAATTGTCTATATCATCAGACATAGTATATAATTGAATATAGCAGTACACAACAATATCAAGAAACACAAAACATTGGAGCCATTGTAAGACTTCAAAAGCGGGTAATAATCAAATCAGAGTGGGTATCTTAGTGACTCTTGTCATCTTCAGTGTAGTTGTCTATACTCTCAGATTTAATACTATCAATCATCACAGATTCAGATAAAATCAGTCAATATAAAACAGCAATCTAACAAGCAAGATTCAAATAAAATCAGTCATAATAAGACAGTTCAAGTTATACAAGGCTTCAGATTAAGTTAATAGGAAATTAAGGATGATTACCATACTATATTCTGCTATTTTTAGGATACCTGTCTATTCACTCAAATCTAGTACAAGTAGACAAACTGGAATAGAATATAATTCACCTAGAGTGGTGAGAATGTGGATTTTAAATACTGATACACTATTAGCAATATCCTCTGCCTTCCTTTTTTAGACAATTCCTTTCCTTTCACTCCTACATGGTGCACTGCACATTTTGGGTCCCACCAGCTCCCTCAGTTTTTAGCTTGGAGGGGCAACCCACTATCTACCTAGGTGATTCTGAATCTTCTCACTCCTGGACTTATCTCAGGTTATATTCCTTTACCTACAAAAGCCTCAAGGTTTTCCTTCATTATAGCTAAGCAGTTCTCTATTGCACATAAGTATCCTGTCTTTCCAACCTATCTGCAGATGCTGGTTGAGTTGCCCCTATTTCTCTCTGGTACCCTGTCACATAGAGCATCGTTTTCTCATATAAGATTTTTGGTCCATACGTTCTCTTTCAGGTTAATTATATTCCCTATACAGAGCATCTTGATGTACTCGACCTTCTGATCTACTCTGCCTGTGTTTCTTTTTGTTAGTGTATCAAGGCCATCTATGTTAGCGATTATAGCCAACCATCTCTGCCTCATTTCTGCTGTTATTTTTCTTCCATTGGTTGTCTACTTTTCTCCTTCATTACGCTGTCTGCCCATTGAGGCCTCTCTGCCACTGTTCCTGAAATCCTGGTATTTTTTTTTTCTCTCTCTAGAATGTCCTTCAGTATTTTTTGTAGGTTTGGATTGTTGGTCACTAATTCCCCCAGTTCCTCTTTGTCATAGATTCCTGCAGTTCCTCTTTATTTCTCCATTAATTTTGAGCAACAGTTTTTTTTTTTGGTACCAGGGATTGAACTCACAACCTTGCCAGGCAGGTGCTTATATCACTGAGCTAAATCCCCAGCCCTTGAGAGGCAGTTTTGTAGGGTACAATAATGGGTTGTCAGTTATTTTCTTTTAGGGTTTGGAATACTTTGCTCCAAGCTCTTCTTGATTTGATGGTTTGTGTCAAGAAGTCTGTTGTGATTTAATGGGTTTTCCTAAAGGAAATCTGGAAAGGAAAGGTGATCTGTTTCTTTTTTCTGACTGCTTTTAATGTTATTTTCTTGTGGTGAATCTCTAGGATCTTGATTAGTATATGTCTGGGTGTAGCTCTGTTTTGGCTGTAGATGGCTGGAGTTCTGTATGCCTCATAAATCTGAATATCATTTCCTTTTCCTATGCTTTGGAAGTTTTCCTTAATTATTTCTGTGAGTAGCCTTTGTGTTTCCTTTGTGTTTACCCCTGATTCTTCACTCACATTTTTTATTCTTAAGTTATAGATCCTCTTGTCGTCTTCTAGCCTTTGTATTGTTACTGTCTATTTTCTTGACATTTTAAAGAAATCTTTCCTTTTGCAATCAGACATTGTAAGTCTATCTTCAAGTTTTGATAATCTATCTCTAGTTTCCATCAGGCAATTTTTCCAGCTTTTGATGGAGTTTTTAATTTTCTGGTAATCTCTTCAAATCTGTTTCATGTATTCTAGTTTTTCTTTATATTCTTCATGAAACATTTCTCTCCTTTTTTGTGTTCTTTCATTCTTCCATCTGTGTCTTCTTGAGGGGTGCTTAGTATTTCTTTTATTAATCTTCTTATATCTTGCCTTACTTGAATTAATATTTTAGTTTTGAGTTTGTCTGTGATGTCTCTTTATGTCAAGTGATGCTGTGTCTGATATTGCATGTTTGCTGCTCTCAGTCTCTTCTGTATTTACCTTTCCTGGATGAATATTCACTGGGTTGGGGGCTGGGAGCTTTTCCTTATTTCTTTCTCTTGTCATGTTTTTGGTTTCTTCCATACAGATGTATAATGGAGGGCCCAGCCCCTTTCCTTGTTGGTTATGGTTCTTCTGAAGTGCACTGGCTAGGGATTTCTGCCCTCTCCAGTTTGCTGTTGGTCATTGAGGTGCAATCAGGGGTAGTGTATGCTTGTCCTCCCCTCTGAGCCAGTCAACCAGCATAGGCCTTCACCATGTTAGTGGTGGGGACAATTTCATTGCTGGTTACTGGGTTCCAGCCAGGAGCATGACTCAGCCCAAGCAGATTCCACCAATCTGCTCTGGGCAGGGAGCAACCAACTGAAGTCACTGCTGTTCCTTATTCATGCCTGTCCTGTCCAATTCCAATATGTTGTCCAGTTGGTCACCTGTTTCCTGGGGGAAGGTCTTATTCTGAGCACTCACCATGGGTTAGTGCAGGTCTCCATGCCAGTTCTGTCCTCCATTGGGCTTGCCAACCCCCAATTTTAGTGCAGTGGTGGCTCTGGTTGCAAGTGCACCATGATTGTAAGTCTGGGTGGCTCCAGCAAGAGTGCCCATGGCTGCAAATATCAGTGGCTCTGATGGCAGCGCCATGACTGCATGTTTGATCAGCTCCTTTCCATTTAGTTTCTTCCTGAGTTGAGAGGATCCATCTCCCTCCATCTGGTCCTCCCCAGAATGCTCCATTTTGGCATCTGAGCTGTTTCTCTCAGGGAGGCTCTGTATTTTGCTGCTTACTGATCCACCATCTTTAGCTCCACCTCTGAGTGTTTACTTTATATCCAGCTAATTTACTGAATTTATTTATTATACCTAGAAGTCTTTCAATGGAGTTTTGGGGATATTCTATGCACAGTATCGTCATCTGCAAATAATGATAATTTAACTTTTTCTTTTCCTATCCTTACTTTTATTTCTCTCTCATATCTAATCACTCTGGCAAGTATTTCCAGCACTATCTTGAATAGGAATGGTGATAACGGACATCCTTGTCTTGTGCCTGATTTTAAGGTAAAGGCTTTCAGTTTTTGGCCATTTAATATTATCCTGGCTGTTGGTTTGTCATAGATGAGTTTTATTATATTGAGGTAAAAACCATCTATTCCAATTTTCTATAAGGTTCTTACCATTAAGGAGTGTTGTACCTTATCAGAAGTTTTTTCTGCTTCTATAAAAATGATTGTTGGGCGCAGGCGCTCAACATACCATACCCCACCCGGGACTAAGGACCACGCCAGCTTCCGCAATGCGCTACGTCCCTCTTTAAATTAGCCAACCCGTGTGCACTTCGTGCTCACTCCGTACTCTGTGGCAACTCCTGATTGGCCACAGCTGGATATAGTGGCCAGAGCCTGCGTCCCATTCCCGCCCTGCTTCCTCGTGGCAGCCTGTGATTGGTCACGGCCAAATATATAAACCAGAGCCCGCGTGAATAAAGCAGTAGTTAACTGTTGTTCACAAGAGCGTCTCCTGTCTCCTGTTTCATTGGGCCTGCGCTGGTCAACTGGTGGCCCGTACGGGGAGCACTGAGACCCTCTCTCCGACAGTATGGGGAACGAACCTCTCTCTCCGACGGAACAGAGACGTTAACAGGTAAAACCGTCAAGCGCCGATAGCGGGGGCTACTCGGCGGGCGGAGGCTGACAGGTTAAACTGCTCAACGTTGGTAGCGGGGGCTACGCAACAGGCAGCGGGGGCTGCGGGGCCGGATGGCAGGGGCTATCGGGCAACCTTGGGCGGATGCGTTGCAAGGGTCGAGGAACTCGTAAAGAGAGTTCCCGGTACCTTAAAGAGGCAGGTTTTGGGGGCGCCGTAAAGGGGCGTGGGGACTAAGCTGTCCCTGTTACAAAAAAAAAAAAAAAAAAAAAAAAAAAAAAAGGGAAAAAGAAAAAAAAATAAAAAATAAAAAGAAACTCTTGAAATTCCGGTTAACATGGGTAACACGGCTACTCAGCCACTGTCAGTCGCCTTAAGCAAACTTACTGAGAGAAAAGGGATTACAAATGAAATGAGAACAAATTCAAAACTTCCTCGATCAGGTCAATAAGGTAGCACCTTGGTTTGGTCCCACGGGGTCTGTTACCATCCCCAGCTGGGATAAATTAGGGAGAGATCTTGACTTTGCAGCAGAAAATGGCCTCCTGGAGCTAGGAGTCAGACCCCTTTGGGCAGTAGTGAGAAGCTGTCTCGCAGACACCTCTTGTCATGACCATATAAGGGCTAGCGCCATGGCGCTTGATTACCATCAGGCAGAATCCTCCCGCGAGCAATCTCGTGAGCCCAGTGCCGCAGGTGAGGTGACCTCACCCAACCCAGAAACAGAGGCCTCGTCAGATAATGAGGGGGAGGAAGAAGAAGTATACAAAATGGCGGATGCAGACACCACCGAAAGAGGGGAAGTCACACACACGCAGTCGAGAGGGCCCTACTGTGAGGCCATAAATGAGCTGCAACGCAGGATTTCTCAGAGTAAATGCGTCAGTGAAAGCGAGTACGAGATCCCAGGGCCGCCCCGTATAAGACCTATGGCTCTACCTCCCGACCTGCCAGATTATCATGCTTACCCAAGACCCTGCCATCAGCTATGTAGCTGTCCGCAACGGGTCCAGACGTCCCCTGGGACATTCCAGGAAGACCTTTGGCATCAAGTCAAAAGAGAGGACCCAGGAGGCCTGGGCCATTTTCTCTAGGCTTTTCCGGTTACTGTAGATGCTCAGGGAAACAGAGCCCACCTGCCTATAGATATAAAGGCGATAAAGCATCTTAAGGAGGCCAGCACCATGTACGGTGTTAACGGGGCGTATACCCTGTCCCTAGTAGAAGCCCTGGCAGGAAATGCCATGACACCTGCTGATTGGGCCAGTTTGTGCAAGGCAGTGCTCAGCCCAGGCCAATATCTTGATTGGAAAGCTTGGAATGTTGAACTTGCCACAGAACAGGCCCAAGCTAATGCCCGGAACAATCAGGTCGCCTGGAACACGGATATGTTATTAGGACAAGGGCAGTATCTCAATAACCAGCTGATATTTCCACAAGAAGTGTATGCACAGATAAATAGAATAGCCATACAAGCATGGAAACGGGTCTCGGCTAGGGGAGAAGTCTCAGGCCACTTGACAAAAATTTTGCAGGGCCCGAGCGAGGCTTTTTCAGATTTTGTGGCCCGCATGATGGAGGCGGCAGGGAGAATTTTTGGGGACGCTGAGACAGCCATGCCGCTCATTAAGCAGCTCATTTTTGAGCAATGTACTAAAGAATGTCACTCTGCCATTAGTCCATACAAAAATAGGCCTCTTGAGGTATGGATGAAACTCTGTCGGGAGATCGGGGGGCCATTAACCAACTCAGGTTTGGCAGCCATGTTAATGAAGCTAACTAAAGAAGGTCAGGGAGGCAGAGTGGCGCCACAAAATGGTGCCCGCCCGAAAGAAGGCTGCTTCAAATGCGGCAGACAGGGACACATAAAAAGAGACTGTCCATCTTGGGGACTCAGAAGAGAACAACCCCCCCCCCGAAGACCGAAAGTGCCCCAGATGTAAAAAGGGAAATCACTCCACCTCGGAGTGCCGCTCCACCTTTGATGTAAATGGGCTGCCCCTCACGGGTAAGGGCCGTAACCCAGAGAGGCCAAAAAATGGGATTGGGGGGCCCCCTGGGGGGTGGGCCCCTGATTCTACCCAGCCAGAGAGTATATGGTAGACCAGACACTGCCAATGACGCCAACATGGGCAGGTCAGAACCGAGGAGAGCCTCTCCGGGTTCAGGGGGACTTGACCTCTGTGCCACCACTGGACTCGTATTAACCCCAAAAATGGGGATACAGGCCATAGAGACAGATATGTCCGGCCCCTTACCGGAAGGCACAGTAGGGTTGATAATTGGTCGATCATCCCTCTCCATGAAAGGAATACAGGTCTTACCGGGTGTTATAGATTCTGATTACACAGGAAAAATAAAGGTGATGATGCAGGCTCCTAAAGGCCCAGTAGCCGTAGGGGCAGGAGACTGCATCGCTCAGATGCTAGTGTTATCCAGCCGTCATGGGGATTATCCATCATTGTCTGGTATTAGAGGAGACAGAGGATTTGGATCATCATACCCAGCCTTTGCTGCCCTCGTTCTTAGATTGGATGAGCGCCCCATGCTAACGTTGTCACTCAATGGGCGAAAAATATCCAGACTGCTAGACACAGGAGCAGACTGCTCTATTATAGCTGAAAAGGACTGGCCACTAACCTGGCCTACCCAGACGGCACAACAAACACTGCAAGGCTTGGGATCAGTTCATGCACCTAAAATTAGTAGTCAGATAATTAAATGGGAAGACAATGAGGGACACTCAGGAGAATTCATACCCTATGTTCTCCAGCTTCCAGTTACCCTATGGGGGAAAGAAGTGCTCTCTGCCCTAGACTTGACCTTGTGCAATGAATATTCTCACACAGCCAGGAGAATTCTTAAAAATCAAGGGTATGAACCAGGCAAAGGATTAGGCAAAGACCTGCAAGCAAGGCCTTTCCCCATCCAGGCACAACCACGTGCTCAGAGGCAAGGTTTGGGTTTTTAGTGGGGGTCACTGACTCGGCTTCTGCCCCTCTCAAATTGACATGGGTCTCTAATGACCCCATTTGGATAAATCAGTGGCCCCTACCACGAGACAAAGCAGAAGCCGCATCCAAACTTATTCAAGAGCAATTAAAGTTAGGCCATATCCAACCCTCAACGTCACCCTGGAATACTCCCATTTTTGTAATAAAGAAAAGGTCAGGCCAATGGCGGCTCCTACATGATTTAAGAGCCATAAATGCTCAAATGCAGATAATGGGCCCAGTACAATGGGGCTTACCATTATTGACAGCCCTACCACAAGACTGGCCTACTATTGTCATTGATATTAAAGATTGCTTTTTCTCCATCCCGCTACATCCAGAGGACACCCACAGATTCGTGTTTACCCTGCCCACAGTAAACCAAGAGGGCATAGATATGAGATATGAGTGGACAGCTCTACCCCAAGGAATGAAAAATAGTCCCACCATGTGTCAGTTATTTGTGAATAAGGCTTTAGACCCCATTAAGAAAAAACACCCGCATGTCAAATGTATTCATTATATGGACGACATCCTCCTTACCCATAGGTCACAAGCTGAATTAGATGCAGCATGCATCACCATGACACAAGCCCTAAGGTGGCACGGATTAGTCATGGCTCCAGAAAAGATTCAAAAGGGTACAATTCAATCCTTTTTGGGCACAGTTATCCGTCCGGACCATATATCCCCCCCAAAAATACATCTTAGAACTGATCAGATAAAAACACTTAATGATTTGCAAAAATTCATGGGAGATATCAATTGGCTCAGATCCTTTCTGAACATACCCAATAGTGAACTGCGAGCCTTGTACAATCTGCTGAAAGGGGATAATAATCTGTTGTCACCCAGACTTCTGACCCCTGAGGCTCGAGAATTCATTGGCTCAGTGGAGCGAGCCCTTCAGAAGGCTATCCTTCAGAGGGCTGCCCCGGGAGTCCAAATTTTGCTGTGCATTCTGCAATCTGCTTCTCAACCCACTGCTTTACTTATGCAACAGCAACCATTATTATGGATCCACCCAAGAATGTCACCAGCCAAAAACATCAGCTATTATCCAGAAATGGTGGTGGATCTAGCGCTACTAGGTGTTAAGCTATGTATGCAACACTTTGGTCACCCACCTCACTCCATTAAGGTTCCCTATACCCGACAACAGATCGAAATACTGGTGTCCTGTGTAAACTCCTGGACTATCCTCAGGTGCACCTATGAAGGATCTATAGATAACCAATACCCCAATAACCCCATCTTGCATTTTGTGAAAGAACACCCAGTAATCTTCCCGAAGTTCACATCATCAAAACCCATTCCTCACGCACTTACTATATTCACCGATGGGTCAAAAACAGGTGTTGGTGCCTACCTTGTGCAAGGTCACCAACCGGTAGCTGTCCAATTTGCGCCTGATCAACCTCAACTAACAGAGCTAAAAATCATCATAGAAGTGTTTAAACAGGACCCACAACCTTTCAATCTGCTCTCTGACTCACATTATGTTGTCAACGCCTTACAAGTGTTGGAAATTTCGGGCCCAATTAGGGAATCCTCTAAAGCCCATGCTCTTTTCCTAGAGCTCCGCACACTCATTCTAAACAGGACTGCGCCATTCTTCACTGCCCACATTCGCGCGCACACTTCCCTTCCCGGACCATTAGCTCTCGGGAATGCCATGGTTGACGCAGCTACTCGCCCTCTTAACATCCTTCTGTCAGCCATAGAGCAGGCCTCAGAGTTCCACACACGGTTTCATGTAAATGCTTGCACTCTGCAGAATAGGTTTCGGCTCACTCGGGAGCAGGCTAGACAGATAGTGCGAGACTGTCCCACATGTGTCACTAGTCATGTGGCGCCCTTTTGTGGCGTTTGTCCGCGCAGTCTCCTCCCAGGACACATTTGGCAAATGGATGTTACTCACATCCCAGAATTTGGAAATCTCAAATATGTGCATGTCTCCGTCGACACCTGCTCACAAGTGATGTTCGCCTCCCTTGAGACAGGTGAACAGGCCCGACATGTCATTCAACATTGCCTGGTGGCATGGGCCACCTGGGGACAACCCAAGCAGTTAAAAACAGACAACGGCCCTGCTTACACCAGCAAGTCATTTTCTGACTTCTGCCAAAAAATGCAGGTGTCCCTCAGACATGGAATCCCCTATAATCCTCAGGGCCAAGGCATAGTTGAGCATGCTCATCAAACCCTCAAGTCTATTCTGTTTAAACAAAAGGAGGGTATTGCCCAGGGCATGACACCTAGGGTCAGACTAAATCTTGCCCTCTTCACTTACAATTTTGTAAACATCAACCCACAAGGATCCACGCCAGCACAGCTACATGCCAACCCTGTCGCACCCAAACATGGTTGGGTACGCTGGAAAGACCTCCTGCATGGGGTGTGGAGAGGCCCCAGCCCAGTACTTAGTTGGGTGAGAGGGGCAGTCTGTATCTTCTCGCAGGAAGAAGGCAGCGAACCTGTCTGGGTCCTGGAATGCCTGATACATCCCTGCAAACCACCAGACCCTGACCCAGAGGAAACGTCAACCACAGAACAGGGGAACCAACAGGAGCCTCACAAGCCAGACCAAGCAAGTACACCCACAACTCCCATTAACTATGGCACCTTGGCCAACTCCCCTGGTTAGTAGCCTCCTTTTCCCCTCCTTCTTGCATCTCGTACGGTCCTTGCAGCCAATGACTTTTCTAAATTGCTCCACCGCAACCTGTTATGTGTTACAATGTTGGGATAACAGTGCACTTTCAGCTGTTGTTATGCAGGTACTCCAGTTCGCACCGGTTCCAGTTATGGCGGACTCAGACGAGTTTCCTGTGATCCAGCTCGGGCCAACTCTCCAATTGGCTTTCATAAAGGAATGGGCAGGAATGGGGGCTCTGGCTACCATGACTACACTTGCCGCATTCAGCAATCCACTTCTGCTCTGTCGGATTCGCAGACAAAGGAATAGGGACAAAGTATCAAACAAGCATTGCTGATCATGGAATCTGGTCAAAGCCCGGCAGCATGGCTCGCCATGCTGTGACGCAGGTGTGGAGCAGAGCATCGCAGGGGGTGTCGTCCTTGGCCAGGAGACACCCCGGTCCCCATGTCGGTGAGCATGCGGGTTGGGCTCATAAAACAATACTCCCACCCCCTCCAAAAGAGCACCAATGAGTAGTGAGGTACTGTCATGACTGCAGTGTGACACCTCACGAGGGGCACCGACCTCTGGAGACCCTGCATCAGTTATAAAGAAAGGGGGAGATGTTGGGTGCAGGCGCTCAACATACCATACCCCACCTGGGACTAAGGACCACGCCAGCTTCCGCAATGCACTACGTCCCTCTTTAAATTAGCCAACCCGTGCGCACTTCGTGCTCACTCCATACTCTGTGGCAACTCCTGATTGGCCACAGCTGGATATAGTGGCCAGAGCCTGTGTCCCATTCCTGCCCTGCTTCCTCGTGGCAGCCTGTGATTGGTCACGGCCAAATATATAAACCAGAGCCCGCGTGAATAAAGCAGCAGTTAACTGTCGTCCACAAGAGCGTCTCCTGTCTCCTGTTTCATTGGGGCTGCGCCGGTCAATGATCATATGGGATAGTCAGAAAATGGCAGCTTAATAGGGGGCTGGATGCAGAGCCTTTGCAGGAAGGCAGCTCAGGTGCTAGAATTTGACAGCATGGAGAGGGGCCAGATGATTGGAGGATGATTTTTATTAAGCCAGGAGGAAACCAAAGGAAAAAACAAAAGTAGGAAGAGAAAGGAAAAGTGTGGGTGGAGGGCTGTAGCCTGACATGCTCACTGAGACCTGTTCCGTGCTGTGCTGGGCATGCCCTGGAGTCTGATGACCCAAAGTCGCAATGAAGCCACAGTTGCCGATAACAGGAGTCTATGAATCCCAGACCCTTGACTGGAAGACGTGGCACAGTCTAAAGTGGAGCCAAGGG